GATTTTAATTTAAAAAATGACGTTCATATGTATAACAAACTCTGAACTTTAGGTGCACTTAATGCTACAGGTTAAAGCCATATAATATGATGGCAAAGAGTGTAGATGCTGTAGTCAGGCTGCCTGGTTTGAATCCCACCTCTGCGATTTATGAGCTAAAGAACCTTGGATAAATTTCTTAATCTTTTTTGCTTTAATCTATAAAAATGGAAATAAAAGAGTATTTATTTCATAGGGCTATTTTGAGGAATAAATAAGCAGATATATTTATATTTCATTTTATTTTACTTTTTTGAAACAGGGTCTTACTCTGTTGTCCAGGCTACAGTGTAGTAGTGTAATCATGGTTCACTGTAGCCTTGACCTCCTGGGCTCAAGTGATCCTCCCACCTCAGCCTCCAAGTAGCTGGAACTACAAGCATGTGCTACCTTGCCTGGCTAATTTTTTTTAATTTTTATTTTTTGTAGAGACAAAGTCTCACTATGTTTCCCAGGCTAGTATCAAACTCCTGAGCTCAAGTAATCCTCCTGCCTCAGCCTCCCAAGTTGCTGAGATTATAGTCATGAGCCACAGCAACTGGCCGCCAAATATATTTTGAACCACTTACTGAGTATAAGTATCATGTAGAAATAATTGCTGCTATTATTCTTATTTGTCATATCTTATTTAGATTTAAGAACAAATATCCATTACTTTCATGTTCCTTTCCACCTATAGTTTTGAATCTCAATGAAACTACAAATAGAATAAATTGTATTTTAATGAATCCTCTCATCTAATCAGCTATTAGCTAATCAGTCATCCATTTCAGTCACTCAACACTCAATTGGTATATAAATTTTTAAAGGCATTGGAGTCATTTTTAATTTCAGAAAAACTCTCAAATTATCAAGCTAATCAATAACAAAATGTAATTTAGATTTCAGTAAACTTTAAAACTTTCTTAGTTCTTGTTTTCTTCTACGTCTAATTATAAATTGAAAGAAAAACAAGAGAACTTTTCTTTTTGAGTGCTTAAACCAATTCAATAATGGATTAGTCCAGAGGAAAAATACTTTAAAAAAAAACTATGATAAAAGCTATTTAGACGGGCGGATCACGAGGTCAGGAGATCGAGACCATCCTGGCTAACAGAGTGAAACCCCGTCTCTACTAAAAAAATACAAAAAACTAGCCGGCGGAGGTGGCGGGCGCCTGTAGTCCCAGCTAGTCGGGAGGCTGAGGCAGGAGAATGGCATAAACCCAGGAGGCGGAGCTTGCAGTGAGCTGAGTTCCGGCCACTGCACTCCAGCCCCGGCGACAGAGCGAGACTCCGTCTCAAAAAAAAAAAAAAAAAAAAGCTATTTAAGTAAAATAGAGTATTACTACATTCAAAATATATTCCTTCCTTTTCTCTATTTTGTCTCTAACTGGACTGTTTTTGGGGTTCAGAATTGTACCTGTCTATGTATCTACGGATATCTCTATAAAAATGCTATTACAGGCCAGGCATAGTGGCTCACGCCTGTGATCCCAGCCCCTTGGGATGCTGAGGCAGGTGGATCATTTGAGGTCAGGACTTTGAGACCAGTCTAACTTACATGGTGAAATCCTGCCTCTACTAAAAATACAAAATTAGCTGGGTGTCGGGGCGCATGCCTGTAATCCCAGCTACTCTGGAGGCTGAGGCAGGTGAATCACTGGAACCCAGGAGGCGGAGGTTGCAGTGAGCTGAGATCATGCCATTGCAGTCCAATCTGGGCAACAAGAACAAAACTCCGTCTCAAAAAACAAACAAAAAAAAAATCATAAAAGGCATAAATTTTTCATTTAAATGGAGCTTACTAAAAAATATCCTGTATGGTTAACATGCAATTAAATGTATACTGTCAATTAAAAAATTAGCATCTGCTAGAACAGAATTCATATTTAAAGTATTTTTTATATTAAATATAATAATTTTATCTTGAACACGTTCCTAAATTTTTCAAGTTCTTAATTGCAAAAAGGCAACCCAATACCATTTTATCTCAGTGGTTTTTGCTAAGGACTAAAAACAACTTAAAACATTTTGTGTTATGTAAAAGCTATTTCACTAAAGTAGCTATGCTCATTTTTTAAGTTAGAAAAGCAGTAATTTCATAATAAACAAGTGCCAGTTATAGTCAGAAGAAACAATAATCTGAGGGAAAGAGGAAGAGATGGAAGAATTGTAACGTGTTCTATGTCCTTGTCGGTTGCTAAGTGCTGGTTCTATGGGTAGGGCCCAGGGCTTCATCTGAGTGCAGTCTACAATAAGTTTAATACTGATAATCAGTTTAGGGCCTGTGTGTGTATGTTCCCAGTCTAAGATTTCCTAATTTTTCTCATGAGAGGACTCCCTTTTAATTTAAAAGGATTATTTTTTGCAAGACTCTTCTTCCCCATTTAATGGCGCTTATATGTTTGTTATATATCAATTTAAAAACACATGCCACAAAGCCTTTATGAATTCAGTTTCAATTTAAAATGAACATACATTACTAATCACAATAGAGACTTAATGTATGTTTAAAATAGTATTTATATATATGTGTGTGTCTTTAGTCTATAGATAATTTGGTTTACCAACCCCTTGGAAAGGAATCCCAGTATGTCTCAAACTGGAAATTGCTGACGTTGCTGACGTATTCAAGTCACTTCCTGATTGGAAAATTCTATATGACCCTGTTAGTTTCTTCCCAAATCATTCTATCTTTAAATAAGCTCTGTGCCTTTAAGAAGAATTATGATTATACCTCATACTATGTATATATATTTAAATGAACAATTAATGAAAATTGTTCCCAATTATTTAAAAAAAAGAAGAAGAAGAATACTATTTTGCGGAGGCAGTGCAAATCCTCCGATGTGTCATGGTGGAGTCATTCTCAAAATCTAATGGCTAGAAAATTGAGTAAACATAGAACTAATAAAGAAAAGATTTCTTCATATCCTATAACATCAGCCCACAGAAGAGCACATTGCTGTGGAAAATTTTGAGACAAGCACAAGGATTTTTTTTCACAGTGATGATATCTCATGCTTGCAGGCATTTGTTACAAAGTGAAAAAATTCCTCTTCACATATCAATACCATAGAGGTGACTGTTGTCAATTATTATCAGCATGACCCCATTCTCCCTATCACATCCCCACCATCTTTCTTTTCAGCATAAAACACAACACTATATTTAAAGAAGCAAGACATTAATCAGGATTAAAAACTCTTCCTCTCACTCTTTGCAAGTACCTGACAGAAAATGCTCCCAGTTGACATTCCATTCATTTGAATTCTGCTTTCATTCCTCAAAACACTGGCACTATTTTTTCTTTCCAGATCCAATTTGTAGGACAAAAGCCATTATGTAACCATAAAAGTAACTTTTCCTCTTTCTAATTTATGAAACTTGTGATCCCTACCAATGCTCCATAAAACTATAACCCATTTCTAATATCATCTTCCTTGGTTCCATTTCATCTTTTCCAAAAAAAAAAAAAAAGAAAGCTATTAAGTGAGAAGTCACTCAATGCCTGCTTTCTTGATAGATTTGGAAGCTAGGCTTAGGAACCCAGCCTACCTCTATCCTACTGTTCATTGATTCATTTAACTCACAAATATTGACCAACTACCAAGTACCAACATCCTAAGCATCAACGTTTGCATATAATGGTAGGTATTTTGAGTGAGCACTAACTCTGTACTTGGCACTGTACTAAGCACTTCCATTATTTTCCTATGCACTGGATACTATTATTATCCTTGTTTTACGTAGGAGAAAATTGAGACAGATTAAATAACTTGTCCAGGAATTCACATAGACAGTTTATATTTTAACCCCTGATAACATGGTGAAGTACTTGTTTCTAACAAAAGCGTTCTGGACATTAAAGGGCCTTAGAGTAAGAGAGAAAAAAGCCAGAAAAAAAAAAAGGAATAGTAATAATGATTTTTTTAAAAGTAGAAATAAAAAGATGAGTTAACATCCATTAGATTCCATTTTCTATTCAAATATGTATATTTACATGCGAATGAGTACTGCTGAATTGACTCACAGTTCTTAGGTCCTATAGAGGAGTGCAGTGAAAAGGAAGACAATTTACACAGTACAGAGCTGAACATAGGACTTACAAACAAAAAAGTTAAGTAATACAAAGTAGCTTCCCCAGGTGTAAAGTACCGGGTCTAGAATTCTATGAGGCTAGGGAGAAGATAAACCACAAAAGCTATAAGAGATCACAATGAAAAGAGATCCGTAAGCCTAAGAAGCCCAGGTCCTTGAGGAGAACCATGAATTTGAGCAGGATTTGACTAATTCCCTTAAAAAGTAGCCATTCCCTCAAAGTACGACTCCATCAACATAGGCAGGAAAGTGGGAGTGAGGAAGGCTTAAAGAGTTTTCCAGCCTGGCTGGGGTCAGGCAATTTGCCTGGGGAAATAGTGGGAGTTGAGGTTGAAAAGACTGATGGGCTTCACATTTGTGGCAGGCCTTGTCCAAAAAGCAATGGGAAGTCATTGAAAAGTTTTGTACAGGGGAGCGACAGGATTAAGGCACTATTTAGGAGGAAGTCATATCATAAGCAGTAGCCTGATAAATGGCAAATATGACAGAAGGAAAAAAAAATAACAGGAGTTTTCTTCACAATGACTAGACTTTGAGGTGATAAATGTCTGAGCCACATTAGAAACAGGGGTGTCAGAAGGAAGGCGCAGATGGGAAAGGCTTTTCTGGGCGGTGGCATTTAAATGCAAGGAGGGCGCCTGAATCACTGACCGACTTCAAGTACCGGAGTTTTCGTGACTGAGGTTAGTAAGTCACACACACAGCTCTCCAAAGGCATGTACGGGGAACGCCAGCCTTGGCTAAAGGACTGATTCAAGTTGTGTCCGTCACCCTGAGCAACCAAAACCACCCACTACAGGGCAGGTGACCCCACAAAGCAAACCAACCCATCTGGTCCACGCTCCCCACCTCCGGGAGGGAGATGGAAAAGTTTCGGGAGTAGTCCCGGACCAATCGGAAGGACATTTTTTCATTCCTCAACCACTACTCTCAGGTGCTCCAGGGAGGGAGGATGACTTCCGGATAGTCCTCCTGTCACTCCTCCCTCGGACCAATTATGAAACTCCGGGCACTCTTGACCTCACCCCGTTAGGGCCCGGGAGGGGTTCCCTAGTATAAAGTTCGCAGCACCGGACAGTTGAGCTCACTTGCCTGATATTTCCAGTGTCAGAGGGACACGGCCAACGTGTGGCCCCTTCTAGGCTGTCAGCCGCGCTCTAGCCACTGCAGCGAGCCGGTCTGCTCCTGCCCTGCCCGTGCGCTCCCCGCAGCCGCCCTCCGCCCAGCCCCAGCGCCCGCGCCTGTCGTCGATGCCCGCGGGGAGGAGGATGGAGATGCTCTCTGCTGGCAGGGTTCCTGCGCTGCTGCTCTGCCTGGGTAAGTTCTCCCCCTCTGGCTTCCGGCCGCCCCAAAGAGGAGACAAATAAGGAAGGCTCCTGTGCATTTGTCATTCGACAAGTACAGAGTTGTCTCCAGGTTCAAGTGTGCTCTATTTAAAATTATGTCTTGTTTTGTGAGTCTGTCTTTCCCTACGGTGGGATTGGGGGTGGGGACTGGGAATCGATGTTAAAATGCCTTTTATTGGTGAATTAGTTAATGGCATATATGTTATGCATGGATTGAAATACCTCCTTATTAAGCAAAATAAAAAGTTGTTGAAAAAACTTTTTTTTTCTTTTGAAAAGTTGCCAGTCCTAGAAATCTAAAGGCCTGGAAAGCACTGTTAACATTTCATGTCTTGCTCCTTTTTGTTGGAGAGTGGAGAATAGAAACTGGCGTAAGACTTTTTTTTTTTTTTTGCGGGGCCGGTGGGGGCGGGGGGAAGCTTTTCCTCCTCTGTCTTGCACTCAGTTTTCTAAAACCTAGCCTGGTTTAGCTTTCCCGGAGGAGCTGGTGTGCGCCAGTGCCAGTTGGCTGAGCTCCAGAAGCGAGAAATAAAACGCTGGTCGAGAGTACCTGGAGCAGAAGGGCCCTGGGCAGGTCCTGGCGCTTCCCACCGCCCTTCGCCCCTACACCTGCTGCTTCGGTTTTTCCCCTGCAGCCTCCCAAGCAGCCTCTGGAGCAAGCGCTCTGCACTTGCTGCTAATTGCACCCCGTAGCCTGTGATGGCTGAGGGTATTTTAATGCCAGTCTTCCTATTTGAGATGATTTAGTTCAAGGGGAAATATTTCCTAAATAGCCTTTCTATTAAAAAAAATTTACTTATTTCTAATTCCTTAAACTTCAGTTCAAGGAATTTGAGAGTTTGAAGTCGTATATGAATATCTTAATAAGAAAATAAAAGTTACCACCAGTCTCATATTCTCCCTGAAGTTGGAATGAGGCTAATTCCCCAGACACTCTGACTCTACCTGTGAAGGATGTGACTGTTAAATTATTATTTTGACACACTTTATCTCAGGGGTTGAGAGACGTAATGAAATGCATATTATGCATAGTTGAAACTTACAAGTCTAAGTCCAGGAACACAAGTGGAAACTAGATATGTGATTTCTGCCAAAACTGAGCTAAGAAAGACTTGCTAGAAGATTCTCAGTAAACAATGTGGCTTTGCTGTCTTTGTTTTGAAAATAATTAAATTAGAAAGGTGACAGTCTTCCTAGAGTTAGAAATTAACCTCGAGGTCAGAAGAACTTAGCACTTATTATTTTCCCCACATGTAAGGTTGCATCAGAACAACGCACATGTCTGTTCGGGGTGTTTTACTGAATATTGTAATTTGAGACAGCAAGAGCCTGTGAATAACCTGGTTACTACCTAGTGTGTGTGTTGTGTGTGTTTTTGTTGTCATGAAAGTGCTTACCTCCTTTATTGCATTACTTAATTATAGTTCATCTATTTCGTCAGCTGCCAAGCCCATTTCCAAATGAGTTAGGTCAGTTTCTGTTTTCCCAGTTTGTTTGGATATTTCTCTGCCACTAGGAAAGTTCCTGTTTCAAGTTCTGTATTATCTCTCTAAACTCTATTCAGTTATGCAGAGCCCATAGCCTTATTTTGGCAAGACCACATGTTATTTCTGAAATTGCCTTCTTTTCCCCAAACAAAAGATTTCTTAAAAATTCTTTTCCCAAATCCTGTCCTCCTCCCCCCAGAAAAAGAGACAGACATTTATTTTAAATTTTAGCATACATATTATAACTGCTTTATGTAGAATTTATATGTAGTTATGACTAGGGAATAAAATTCCAGCCTCCACCCTTAACACATGCAGATGTAAATTGCCACTCACAATCATTTGATGGTTTTTACATTTTATATGTATTTGATATTGATGTTCTTGTTTTATAAATTGGGGAACTGTGACCCAAGTTCCCATGGAAAAGTAGTGACAAAGTGAGAGAGTTCACACTTGGGCTTGCCAGCATGTTTGGCCTACTGAACATTAAGTAAAATAGTTGAAATACTGGGTAACATTTTTCTAAATAATCTATAATTTTAGAGCAGAATTGTCTTTTTTAATCTTGTGATTTTTCTAAAGAGAGGAGGAGAAATTTTTATGTTGAATTCTGCAGTTATGTTCAGGGGCTTTCTATTTTACATCAAACATTTTTTTTCATTGCCCACATGGGTTTTTGAATATGTTCCTGAATGACATCCCCAAGACAATTTAGTCCTACTTCATCAATGAGAGAGAAGTAAGCAGAAGAAATATTCTTTTTTGAAAATATGAGAAGCATAAATCTCAATGAGACAATAGGCTTGTCTTTGATCATTTCTGTTGACCCTGAGAGTTTATGAGTTACCTGAGTCTTGGCACAATCTGAGATGACAAATCTTGTCCGAAAACATGATGACAGGCCTTTCCTGTCTGGATTTTGACCAGGTACCCTCGCTACCTTCTTCATAGTCTTGCCATGTGAGCAGCTTGGGTAATTTTGGTGTCTGATTCAGCACTAGGACCCTAATCCAGGAGTTGAGGAAGAGAACTAACAGTTACTAAATGCCTACTGGGTGGCAGCCATGTTGTGTATTAGGTACTTTAAACACATCATTACCTTTACTTCTTAAAATAACTGCGTGAGGTAGATCTGATTAGCCCAGTGAAGTCAAGTACTTTACAAAGACTCAGAGATAGTAAATGGCCAGGTCCCTCTGTGATAATGAGGAAAGAGCCAGTAAGACTCACGGCTAGCAGGAGCGTAATAAACATAACAGATTCTAATGGAGAAATTCCAGAGCAGCCTGCGGCTGCTCCAGGGCTCAGACCCTCTCGTATGCACAGCACATGTACAAATGGGATTTCTGACTCTGTGCAAAATAAGGCAAATAAAACGTGACTATTCTCTTAAGCTGTGCTAAAATATGTTGAATTTTTACTTAATGCTCATAATTTTTAATCAACACAGTTCCTAAGATATGATTTTTTTATTATAAAGCAGTCATTGAAGTCAGTTGACTGGGGTCCTTATTTTTATATTTTCCAAGATTTACATTAAGTAAAGCAATAAAGAGGGTAACTTATGTCTGTTTTTATTCCTTCTGTTCTTTGTATATTATTGTGAATTGAATATAGCATTGATAAGGGATCAACTTGGAATCTATAGCCCATTCCGGTTAACTGTGAGAACATAAATGTATTTTCTTGGTTTTAAAAAAATAACAATACTCATATAGTCACTTTGGAGAAACTGAATTTGAATGTTTTCTATCTACTTTTGCAAAAGATTCTCCCATTTCCTGGTTAATGTTCACGTGAAAGATGCAAATGTCAAGTAAGAAATCCTCTTCAAAGAGAATGTAAATTAAGGCGGGGTTTCCTCATCTGTCAGTCTTTACTTTGAGTGTAGGCCTATACAAATCGTCTAATTAATATGGCTGTGACTGCTACTGGGAACATTCCATTGGGAGACAATGAGAACGCTTCCCAATGGTGTAATAGAAAAGATCCTCAGGGAGGAGTAGTCTGACAGCCATTGCCTTGACATGGCAATTCTGGAACCTTTGGAAAAATGAAGTAATGCGACATACTCAGTGTCCTCTGGAGATGCAGTTTACGTAAGATCAGGTATTTAGTTATAGGGCACATAAAGGTTGAGTGGCCTTCTAGGTTAAAGTAATGATTTAACTTACTAAGATACTATTTATATGATGATTTGATAATTGTCCAGAAAAAAATGGATTTTTAAATATATCTCATAAGATTCTTAATATACATGTGTATCCTACATCTCTTTTTTAAAAAATTTCAATAGCATTTGGAGTACAAGTGGTTTTTTTTTACATGGGTGAATTATACAGTGGTGAATTCTGAGATTTTAGTGCACCTATCACCTGAGTAGTGTACATTGTACCTAATGTGTATTTTTTTTAATCCCTAGCCCACCTCCCACCCTTCCCCTTCTGAGTCTCTAAAGTCCATTATATCACTCTGTATGCCTTTGTGTACTCATTGTTTACCTTCTATGTATAAGTGAGAACATACGGTTTTTGGTTTTCCACTCCTGTGTTACTTCACTTGGAATAATGACCTCCAGCTCCATCCAATTTGCTGCAAAAGACATTATTTCATTCCTTTTAATGGCTGAGTAGTATTCCATAGATATATGGATGTATTCCATGGAGATATATGTAACATTCAGAAAGAAAAATGTTGAACCTTAATCTCTTAGGTTAAAAATCCTCTATTTTAAATTTGAGGCATGAAAGTGATTGATGTGTGCACACACACACGCATCTTTATGTATGTAAATTGTATAGTTTTAAATTAAGAGGCATAGTGTATAGTGTATAAAACACAGATTTCGTGTGCCATTTTTTTTATTTCATACTTTCAGAAAGAGTGATTTATCTCTGAGCCTCAGTTTTCTCTTCCCAAAAAAAAAAGGTTATCTGCAATAACCTTGTACGTAGATTTATTGGATAAGATGATACATGAATTCATAGACAGCACTTTTACATTAATTCATAGAAAGCACTTTTAAAATTAGTGCTGTCATCATCAAAATGGTTTCTTACAATAAAAAGCCTTAGTTCTTACAACAAAAAGCCTTAGTTCTTAGGATGCCTTTTTAGCCCAGAAAGTTATTATTGTTCCCGTTTTACAAATAAGGAAACAGAAGTTACACAGTATGTAAGGCTTTAGGTTTGAATATGCTGTACCCTTTACTATCAATGCCTTCAAGTCACTCTTTACTTTTGGTGAAAGTACTCACTCTTTAAGATTGGAAAAGGAGTCACTTCCTTAGGCACTTCTCTGATAAGCCCTGACCCTCCTCCATTGCACCTTTCCCATTCCTTTTGTCCTATGACCCTGTCACACCACATGCCACACTATAAGTGTATAACTCTGTCCCTCCTTGCTGGTGCTATAGTCATCTTTTATCATTTCTATTGTGATAGGCTTATAATAAACACAATAAGTGTTTGTTAGATGGATG